TATAAAGATTTTTTTAAATTTTCACCATTGCTAATCAAACCAATGTACGAAGACAATAACAGACTATAAAATGGTAAAAATATGACTAACAAGCAGAAATAAGAAATATAAATTCTGTAAATTATTAAGCTTTTATATTGCAGAAAATAACTTTAACTTTCCATAAGGAATGCCACTTACACTTTTTACAGAACACTGAGAAAATAACCTGAAGCACTCACGAATTTTTCAACATAAAATACGCGTCCTAAAACATAACATTAGTATACATAACTTGGAAACAATTGCTTTATATTAAATTATACCTTGAATAACATACACAGCTGATTTAAAATTAATCCAGTAGGTTTAATCAACAATTTACAACAACAGAGAACCAGGTATCATCACTTTTTACAACAGAAAAAAAACAGCTCACTTAATCCATAACATTTAAAGTAATAGTTTAAAAACATTTAAGGAGTGACACCTACTTTTGACAAACTGAACGTTTTATATGAAGCAGGAAAACACTATAAAACATTTATCTTATTGAAGCAAGCCATGCAAAAGAGAAGAGCCTAAAGATCTGGAATTTCAGGGCGACTGAATTGCAAACAGTACAAATACATAAAAGCGGGCCCCGCCCTTTCAGTAAATGAGAAATAAAGTCATTGTTTCTTTTTTTTGCCGAAACATAACTTCTGTTAAAAATGAATGCAAAGTAGTTTCATATTTGCATGTAACAAAACAATAGTTACACTTAAAAAGCTGAAAGTAAATGAAATAGTGGTACATAAAGCATAAAGCAATGTACATAAAGCAATGAAGATAGTCCTAAACAAACCTAAAAACGTGAAATTTTCTCAAACGTCCAGTTTAAAATTGAAATGGGAAAAATTGATTAACCTCCACTTTTCTTTGTTCATCATCATTGATGAATACATTTTGTACTGTAACAGGTCTCCTCTTATGAAGCTATGCTGTAAAGAGAATTATCTTTTTAAAACAATACAAATAGGCAACACGTGTTGTGAGTCAGGCTTACAGTTTATATGTGTCATGATACATTACATGATACACTTGACTTGCATTCACTTTGTGCAGTAGAACAGGATCGTCAGTACCACAGCTTCTTTAATAAACTTCTACATTGTCTCAAAGCGAATATTTGTACAGTAAATTATTAAGGTAATACTTAGGCAAGCTCTTATTGATAACATGACGTACCTTAATCGTTGCCGACTTGTTTTATGTCAATAAATTAATAAAATGAGCATTATTAAAATAATGTCTGATTTTAAGTTCTTCTTACTTCAATAAATGGCACAGGACGTACAGTACCACTTCGCTAGTGCAGCGCTGAAGTTTTATTTCTGGCATGTATTGTGATATCAGTGTGATATCAGATCGGGAATTTTCTAGGATACTGTATATGGTTATATATGTTAAATCGTTTTTAATATTAAAACATGACTTAAAATGAATTCAAAATTACTCAATTCTACTATATATGTGTTTATAAAGCAAACAATCGCTTTATAAAGGGTTTTATCCTATACATTTTTAATTAACATATTTTTACGTTTAAATGTACTGTACAAAGTGCCTGGATATTTTCCTTGCAGAAGAACAGTTCCTCAGTTTCTTAGCATTCACTCCCCCCAGTAAAAAACAAGCTAGAAAAACCCAACTCAACCGTGAATTCTTAGAGCCCCTGGCTACATCAAGATTTATTGAGCATTATCTATGGACAGGTGTTTACGAATCAGATTGCTCAGCTCTTCCCCGGCAGGTGGCAGAAGAGTTTCGCCTTTTCTTGTCTTGCCCGAGGAAGAAAGTCCGTGAAGGCGGAGTCACAGGGGGAGAGCCATCACCGGGGAGACGGACACAGCTACTGCTCAGCACACAGGCTGAAACACTAGAGAGTAGGTTTTCATGTTCATTTCCACAGGGACAAGGGGAGCTGTGCTACCTGAACTGGGGCAGGATCGTACCGGAATAGTAGGAGAGAATTGTGAATGCGGAGTACAACCCACGTTAGAAGGAACTCCACCTGGACAAGAATTTAAAGAAAAACTGTTAAGAAAAGCGACCCTGGAGGATAAATTAAGGCGCAGATCCCATGTGCTAATGAGAAATGCGCTGCTTATGGGGTACTCATCACAAATGTGAGAAGTAGCCTCAGGAGGAGACCATAGCCCGGTCTTTGAAGTAAGCTTAATCTAACCTAAAGAAAAGAAAATGACAATGATAGTTATATAATGGACAGCAATTTGTAATTATGTCTTTTTAGTAACGGTAAAACAAAACAAAATGTACTTTGTCTTTAACATAAATTAAACAAAACGGAACAACATTAACAATCAAAAACAAAGGATTTGGAGATATTCCGTAAGGTAAGAAGATACAATAAGACCCCATCTCTATCCATTTCTCTGTCCATGCCGTGAAAACAATACATTTTTTATTTTCATGATTAAAAGTATAATTAAAAGTAAAATAAATTTAAATAAAAATGGTGATCAGGTTGTTGAATTTTAAAATGTATCATTCAGTGGGTCCATTAATAAATTCAGTCTCTTGGTTTGCAAGGTGTATGATATTTTCTTCCTTTTTCTTTTCAAACTTGCGTTTTACTTGTGTGTCTTTCAGATTGGTTTGCGGAAGACTTTACATTGCCCATCATCGCAAGTTTAGAATTTGCTACTACGTATTGAAAGCATCGGTTTAGGGGAAAATAGTCTGATTTTTATTTTGTCATACGCATTACCGATGAATGAGTTAAAGCACTCCTGAATCACTGGACTGAAACCAGAAGCAGTTCTTCCTTTGGTCGATGCAAAACCAAGCCACTGGAATACTGTTTTATCACGCTGTTTCATTTGTAAGACTCTGAAATGGGTTGTTTCTGCGCTGCTCAAGAGGAGTTTTATTGCGAGGTCTTGCTTCTGGATGAAACCAAATTGACGCTAACCACCCAACAGCAAGGGATAAAGGTAAGTAGACGCTGTCATTACAATATTGTTCCCACCTGTCACTTTAGTCTTTTGTTTGTAGGCCCCGGTCAGACATAAAGGTAGGGTCACATGCTTTAGCGAACTGGGCTAAATACAAATACTAATTACACTATGCCGAATACATGTTTATCAAAATTAGCTAAATTGTTGCTGTGCTCTTTTAACTTCGGACAGATTACCAGAGATTGAAAATTAACCTTAAATTAACAGAAATTAAGAATGCAGAACACTTTGCAGCAGTAAATTGTTGATGCTTTTAAACCAGATCATGAAAATTCATTAATCTTTCTAATAAAATGGTAAAGTGTTTATTTTTGTTATGTTATGATGTGTTTGATGTTCTATATAAACATCCATGGAAGGTTGTGGGATTATTCCTTTACTCGGACACTTTCTGAAAATATTATGTACTAAGTAAATTAACTAATGCCGCCTTTCAATAAAGACATTTACCTGGTTAAACAATCTGGAATTTCACTCCATTTTATACTGCGGGGTAAGTGGCCAGTTCATATTACACTTTAAATAATCTAAAGAACCTATGATGTAGTTTGTTGCTTTAAGTCTGATACATGGATTTAGTTTCCAAGTCATACTTGAAGTGAGGTTATGCCCTTGGCAGTGATATGACTATTGGTGTTATTTACTTGCTGTTGACAATGGTTCTCTAGTATGTTGACTGGTGCTATGATGAGCAAGTAATTCCACTGAGGTTGCTTCCAGAATTTAATGAAGAAGGATGATCCAGACAAGCTTTGGTATTACGGTTTGTCTAAATACGGTATGTGTTCAGAGAGAAAATCAGACAAATACCCACCTAGGGAGTACATTTCATGAGCAGGTATTCAACCTATAAATCTTGAAAGCCAGTAGCATGGTGATATTGTTTTAAGGTGTGTTATGGTATGGTACATGATAATGTTATGAATCATTACTTTTTTTTTTGTTAATTTGATATGAGCATTTGTTGTACCAAAGAGCACAGTCTTTGACATTGCCCTGGGGCACTAATATCTAATGAAGTTTTTTTCCTCTTTTTGTGTGCGTCTTAAATAACACTGGCTAGTGTCCCTTTCCAAGACAAACAAGAAAATTACATCATTAAATTGTGCACTGAAATTTGATGAGTAGTCAGGACAACATTGTGTGTTTGTTTTTATTGGCTCTATCTTTTAATTACATGTTAGATGCTTCTCATGGGTGAAGCTGTGCACGCCCAGTAATTATTTGAGAATGGATTCATAAGAGCTCCCAAAAATTGATGTATAGAATGTGCCATGTTAACTTCTCCCTTTCCATGCTCTCTCATCATTAAAACACTTAAGTACATTTTTTTCTGTTTCCAACAGCTGTAATTTATGATACAATATTGAGTGGCATAATGATCCATGGTATAAATAGCTGGATGTTCACGTTTATTTTTTTAGCAGTGGTGAGTTTTGATGATTTGTTTGTATTGGTAAGAATATCACCTTGTAGCCTGATTCCATCAGGTCTTAGAGACTAACTAAGGATGGGAGATCTAAGAAAAAACAGATGTTAGTGGACCAGCAACATTGTCTAGTGTCCATGTGTTATGTTCCAAGGTTCCAACTACATGGACACTGGAGATCACATAGCATTTCTCGTAAAATCAGCGATGTTAAATCTGGTGTACTGGCTCAATTCCACTTTGCATGTGCACAATCAGGCCTTCCTAAATTTCCTCCCTAATTCAATTGGTGCAGTAATTTAATTTCTCACTTCTTCACCTCATCTGTGTAGTGGGAGTACTGGCTCCTTACAAGCTAACATTGTGGTGTACTGATTAGTGATCTTGACTCTAAATGGGAGAGTTATACAGTAAGTTCAAATCCTTAAATGGTGTACTCTGGATCACTCAAATTAGTAAAATTCGATGTTGTATAGATGGGTCTCCAGGTCATCAGCGTATTGTGAAAATACCAAGATGAGAAAAAAAGGTTATTAAGTTCTTTCCTTCCTCAAGCTCTCATGAGCGTACCAACCTTTTCACTATAAGACACAACCATTTACCAAGCTCTGCAATTCACTGAGAGAGCTTCTATACTTGCCTTATCTGACTGAACAGTCAAAAAGACTAAAAGAATGTTAATCAAGAAATGATGTTTGGTTTCCTGACACTATATGCAAATGAAAGATAGTGTGGACAGAAGGCACATAAGCCATGGAGCACAGGGACTGTGCACAGGTGTTTTGGTCAGATAAAGGTAGTTCTAGGGTTTTTATACACCTTCTGTAGAGGAGGAAAATTTGGATATTAATATAATAAATTGCACTTAAATGCTTGTATGTAATCAGTTAATGGATTGATGTCCTGTTCAGGGTCTTCCCAACTTGTACCCACTATGCCTGTAAGATCTTGCTCCAGCGCGGCCCTGAATTGGTTGAAGTGGTTAGGAAATGGATGGATGATCCATCAGTGTCTTATTAAAAAGATAATTTTTTTCCTAGTTAGGATCATTGTTACCCTGAGGCATAGAGCTCAAGACAGGACTACACCATATAAAGTATGCCAGTCCATTACAGGACTCACACTTAGGTGCAAAAGCATTATAAAGACATTAATTAACCTAGCAGGAGGTAAGGCCAGAATTAACTTCGGACGCAAGAACTCTGAGGCAGTTACGATAACTATCGGACCGAACACTTACATGTCATAAATTCTTATACTGGTTAGTAAACCAGCCAACTTGCTTAGTTGGTCAAGTTAAGTAGAAATTTGAATAAAATGATGTTATGCTAAAATTGTACCTCAATTACAATACTGTGTACAATTCTTGTCACCACATAACAAGCCGCTTCTGGGGTTTGAAAGAATGTACTACACTGACAGGCTAAAAGAATCGAACTGAGAAGACTACTTGGAATCCAGGTTTAAGTATTAGAAAGGAATTGAAAAAGCCAACCCAATGGAGTTCTTTAGAACCAACAGTGAAACAAACCACAGGAAAGTGCATTTAACACTGATTTCTAGGTTTGTAGTTGTCTGGAACAAGCTACTCAGCCTTGGTGTTGAAGCTGATACCCTGGTTTCATTCAATAAATGTTTGGATGAAATCCTTGGATCAGTTTGTGCATGTAACCTTGATCATGAGCATAAAATACATATACTTGTACAGTTACTTACAGAAGAACAGCTCTGTTTCTATGGTCTACCGGTCTGTATTTGTCTTACCCTTTACTTAATGTTTTCTTTGTAGCTCAAATTCTTAGCTTTCCATATGATAAAAATCTTATCATGGCAAATTTCCTTTACCACCTCAAGAACCTAAGTATGCACCTCAGCTTTCTGTAAAATTAGTATTAGGACATAATTTGTTGTGGTAATCATTACTCTTCAAAAAGAGTACTAACTCCAGTAGTGTGTTCAGAGCTAAAGGAGTACATTTGAATTTCCTTATATTTAATATTCCAAAATGTGAATAATGGTGAAGTCTATGATTCTCAGCTGATGGAACATGTTATGTTGTTAAAAGTGTGTTCTTACTTGCAAATAATTCACAATTTCAGATGACAAATCAATGCCAAAAATAATTAAACCAATATTGAGATTAATAAAAGTGATTGAAGACTTTTATTGCTCTTTTCATGTCATTATGTTTCTTTGTCATACAGGAAAAATGGGACTCTCCCAGTGGAAATAAATACTGTAATACAAGAGGCAAGGATTAATATAGTGAGAGATAACCGCCAATGGAATATAAGTTTTATTGATGGGTTCTTAAGGAAATACAGTTGTGGTTCTGTGAAGGCAAGTATGTACTTCCAGGGAAAATAATCAAATATCTTTAATATTTAAAGGTATCTGTTAGTATCATCAGTTTGCTATGCATTACTTGTGACTACTTCATCCCAATTTTTAGTATCTGCTTTCATTCTTTGGATGCAATCTAACCTGTTGAAAATTTATTTCTAGACAGAAAGATCAATATGCTTTGGTATTAAGCGCTAGATAAGTTTTTTTAGTTTTAACACCAAGGGCTCTAAATATACAATGAGTGGAATATATGTGTCAATAACATGATATATTGCTATTCCTTTCTTAACATTTATGTTTGAAAATAACCAGTATAAAGAAGTTACAACTGTATTTTAATAAGCACCCCACCAAATTCCTTAAAGATAGGAATGGTCTTATCTTCCTGCACTTCCATTTTTCTGGTATGTCTTTTACATAACTGTCTTGTTTCCCACCTGTAATAATGCACAAGTCTAAGCTACTAGATGATTTGGGGTCTACATTTATATCACTGTCCAAGACAGACCATGCGGGTCTGATAAAATACACCAGACTCTGAATGGCAAAGTTGAGTACTTTTGACTAGGGAAGTTGTTGGAGTTTATTAAAAAAACAGCTGGATGAGATCCATTGATCCCTTAGTTACTAGCAACAAAAGAATCAAGATGGCCTCCTCTCATTTATATCCTTTCTTATGTTCTCTTATCACTTGATCCATGATATCTGTTAGTCATGCTAGAATTATAACTAAACTGTTGGTAACAAAGCATCCATAATTTGTCCCTCACTTACTTATTATAGTGGTGAACTGATGCTGGGGGATATGTTCCATCATTCACTCTATCCAGTACATTCCAGGGTATGAGATGTAAATGCTTCATAAACAAAACATATGTCAGCTGACAAACTTGACTCGAAACATCACTTACAGTACATGTAAATCAGCAGGATGTTTCATAAGAACCACACAGTCAGGTATAATGTACTGCTTACCAAATCATTTATATAGCAAAGTAAATTCTAAAATAAATTATTTCCCCTAAAATCTCATATTCAAGTTGTTCTTTATTCATCCAGAATGCTTTATTACAAAACCTGAGTAGGATATCATGCCTAAGGTGTTTTCAAATTGTGTAGTTCGATCTGTAATGATCGAGAACTATCCAACTGTGTCTGTTTGGGACGGTGTTTTCTTATAGTCTCTACATTGCCAGGAACA